GTTTTATTGTGTTGATTTGCATCTATAATTTTTCTTGGTAGAAATAATTAATGTCATTTTACCATGTTTCACAGATTGCTTGTAACTTTCATATAAAGTTATAATTATTTGGCAGAATCATTTTTATTAACATTTATTGGGGGCAAGGCATAAACAAACACTGTCACTGTCACTGTCACTCCTATTGTTCATCAGTTTGCTTGAGTGGACCCAGTAACATTGTGAGACTTGTTACTGTGTTTGACATATTGAATACCTCAAGGGAAGCTTGCCAGGCTTTGCCGTGTGGGCGAGATACTCTCAGTAGCTTGCGGGGCTCTCCGAAAGTGGTGGAGGAATCCAACTAGAGTTGGCCAGGTTGGCCATATGCAAGGCAAGTGCCCAACCCATTGTGCGGGAGTGACAGCACAGCAGTAGGGCATTTGCTTTGCACGTGTCCGGCCAGGCTGAGCTGGGTTCCTCTTGGAGAGCCCTGCAAGCTACCAAGAGTATATCGCCCACACGGAAAAGCCTGGCAAGACTGTCGAGCTACTCATGAGGTAGCTTGCCATGTCACGGAATCGAATCATATTCGATGTGCCAAACACAGTAACAGCAAGTCTCACAATGGAGATTTACTGGGCTTGCTCAAGCAAATTGATAATCATTTTTATTGGTAAAGTGGCAGTACTTGAATAAACGATGAGAGGCTCTACTTGCTGATCTTAAATTCAGTTTTATCTTACATGCTAAGCAAGATTATGGTCAATGTGCTTCTCATCTGTTGGTACACTAAGTCTAGCATGGTGCATAGTATATTTTAGATTGAATTCATTGATATTTTGGAATTGTTGGTTACCAAAGAAGACAGTATTTTAGCTCTAGATTTAATTTTATTCATATATCTTATTTATATACATTTGACTTAGAGACAGTTGAGTTAGAACATTGCATAAGTTTCAGGTGTAGAGGTTTAATCTTAAGCATTTTTATATACTGTTACAATCGTCACAAAAAATCTAGTTTCTATTCACAAGTATAATAAAGAGTATCTATCCCCTTAGTCAATTTAATCATACTCTTCATCTCCCCTTCCATTTAGTAATCATTTTGTTGTCAAAATGAATTTGTTTTATTTGCATGTTTTCATAAGTTGGGAATTAATATAGCACTAGACAAAATATGTAAACAACTTGTAACTTAATGATAAGAAATACTTAGGTTAAAAAATGAGCAGAAGTGCTAAATTGACTGGTACCAAAACAGACATACAAATGGCCAGAAAGCACATAAAAACTATTTACCATTATTTATCATTAACAAAGTGCAGACCAAAACCTCAATGGGAAATCAATCACCTGACATATTTTAAAATATTATTAAAAATACAACAAATACTAAGTGTGTGGAGACCAAAGAAAAAATGGAGACTCTCCGTAGGAGAAATAATATAAGGGATAAGGTTCATTGCCAATTTGATCTCCAGGAGGTGTCTTTGACCACAGAACCAAAAGTAAGCCAAGAGCACAGCTGGGTGTGACTATCTCCCAACCTATCTCCCAAAAGAAAACAAATGGATCCTGTGTAAACTGATGTGATCAACAGAAACTTTTTGAAACTATATTTTGTTATTTAAAAGTATTAGTTAAAACTAAGACTTTATGCAATTATAATCTTGCACTACATACTTTAACTAAAAGCCCCTGTGATCTCAATTAAAGGATTTTTAACTTAATTCTGATTCCAACTTGAAAGCAATTTCAAGGACATTTCAGATATATTTCATGCACTTTAAACTGACAAAATTTTTGGTAAAGCAATACACTATTTTGGTAATATTGTATGAATAAAACATTATATAATAATGATTCTTTTCCTATTGATGTTGTTATTGTTGCTGAGGTGCTGAGGTGGGCCATGCTATAGTGAAGATCAAAACCAGGACATCACATATGCATTGCAGTTCTTGACTATTAAGTAAAATCATTGGCCCTGCGTAAGTTTTTTTTTTTTTTTTTGCTTTTTGGGTCACACCCGGCGATGCTCAGGGGTTACTCCTGGCTTATGCACTCAGGAATCACTCCTGGCGGTGCTTGGGGCACCATATGGGATGCTGGGAATCGAACCTGTGTCGGCCATGTTGGCTGCATGCAAGGCAAACGCCCTACCCGCTGTGCTATCGGTCCAGCCCCTGTAAGTTATTTTTAATCATGAGAAATTGGTGTATTTTTTTTTTGTCCTTCAAGGAAGACTCATCCCTAGCGTGAAATAAGCAACTGAATCATATGTATGTAATGATATTTTTCATGTCAATGATTTTGATTTTACTTTCAAATTGGTTCTTTCCTTACTAGATATTCATATTATATATGCATATAAACATATCTTGCCATTTGATGTATGCAAACTGAAAAAAATATTTGATGAGTTTAATACTAAACAAAGATATCTAAGATAACAATATAGTACTTCACTTCTTACTCAGATATTGAGTTATATTTTGATGGTCCAGGAGACATTTATATATCAATGATGTGTGATTTTATATTTCTTATATATTCTCAGTTTCTCATCTGTTTAATTGGGTCTAATTCTTTATCTCAAGAGTTTTGATGTTTAAGTGAGTTAAGTGAATATATTTTGAAAAGTACCTGATCCATGGTTAATGCATAATAAATGTGTATATTCCTATTATAATTTTTTTTGCTTAGCAAATTTCCCAAGTATTGAGAGCTGAAAAATGATTAATTGCAACTATCTTTCAAGCCCCAAATTATAGCATTTTAAATCTGGTACAGCTATTAGCGTTGTCCTGTTGAGTTTTTGAATTCCATTCTCCCATGCCTCATTGGTAATTGAAAACCTCTATGGAATTTATATCTTTTGTATTTATTCTCTACATTAAGATAGTAATGAAAATTGTCTTTAAATAATAACTTTTATAATGACTACAGAGTTTGTCTGTGAAAAATTGCCCACACTGTTTTCTGTGTTACTTGACATGTTGCTGTGTATATTTCACACACCAACCACCATACAAACCATAGGGCACAGAAGAATTTATTCTTCAATAAAATCCATTGAGAATATGTATCTACATACTTAAAAACCGTGAAATAAGACCGTGAAAGAACTAGGCCATATATGCTTCTCAGTAGGATGTAAACATTAGAGGTCATTCAGGTTCCAGTGAAAAGGATTGCCAGGGCAGAGTATCTTCTTCCTTAAACCTTAGCTAAAATTAGCAACACAATAAAGTAAAGAGACTCAGCTCTGGGATTGTGAAAGTGGAGTTATTATATCATGCAATTACTCTATCCCCCTAACAGTCTTCTTATTCAGCAAATTGACTCCACACTTAATAGTGGGTTGGCAGCTGAGCCAATTAAATGTTAATCTTAAACAAGGAAAATTTGAAATTAGTAGTTGAAATGTAGTTCTCCCAAATTAGAAACAGTTTAAATAATTCATCTCATCTAAGCAAATGGAGGTATTGGTTCTGTCCAATGACCTACAAAACATTAGTTTGGAAGTAAATAACTTTCCCGAGGACATGTAAGAAAAACATTTATAAAGGCATGTAAATGGTGATGTGGTAGGACTTCATAGCCTCACATCAAAATTGAGTACACGTATAAGCACTACTATAACTACACAGTTACTTTTAAAAAAATATTTTGATCAAGATAATTTATTTTGTGAAATTCTTGCAGTTGTTTCATTTAATATCCTATTAAATTATAGGTTCACAGTATAGTGATATAGCATGGAAATAAAAAAGAATTTCAATGAACATTATTTTAATTACTGAGATTAATACTTAAAGTTTGAGCATGGATAATACAAAGTAATACTTTATTGAGAAAATGTAGTTTATAAATGCAGACTTCTTAAAATCCCTTATATGTCCTATTCATTTCCCATACTTTATATTCACGCCTATACACATTAGAACTTACCCTGCAAATGAAAAAATAAAAAGATGAAGCTGTGTCTTTGGGGATGAAATGGATGAAATTGAAAATTATTATTATCCTAAGTGAAACAAGAAAGTAAAAGTGAAAGACATTCATCAGGTCCTTTCACTCTATACATGGAGTATGACTTACTAAAGTAAGCAAACAGACAAGAAACAACAAAACTAAGTCCTAGACTCAGTGAAAACTATGTCAGTTAACAGAGGAAAAAGAGGAAAGGGTTTGGAGGAAGGAGCAGAAGACTCATTTTAATGTTTAGATGGCACTGAACTTGGGTGGTAGGGATGATTAAAATTGCACACATATAGAAATATGAAGCTAAACCATCGAAAAATCTGTATTATTGTCAGTAAAAAATAAAAAAAATATATTCTTATTTTTATTTACAATTTTTTTAAAAAAATTAAAAAATATATATTTTACATTATGTTTTTAAATTATAAGTCTAGAGCACTAATCAAAATGTGCCAAGATTCATTTTATTATTTTAATCTTCATATTATCAACTTAATAGTCTTCATATTATCAACTTAAAGACATTTTAACATTTAAAACTTTTTTCATTAATGTAGCTATTTTTACCTTTTAGAAATCATCTAATTTCACAGAACAAAATTTACAATGATCCCCATATAAAAATCTCAAGAAATTTGTCAGTTTAATTATTACCATCGCCCTCTTTCACATTTGTGTCGTATGTTGCACACTTAATCATATTGCTAAAATTAATTAATAAACTGCTGTGCTTAAAGAAATCAGTCATCTCAAAGTCACAGCAAATCTCAAAGTTATCTTATCCCCTAGTGGGATGAATAATTGAAAGAAGGACACAGGAGTTTCTTCAAACTAAGGGAGAGCTGCGAGTGGAAAGCTAAGATGCAAACCAGAAAAACAATGATGTATTAGGTTGGGAGATCGGAACATTTAGACTGTTTGTCCCTTCACTGCGGGGGGGACTAATACTGGAACACACCAAGAACTCGCGCTCCTTCCTGTGGCGGTAAAGATCTGTTGGCTGAGTGGTCAGTTTCCAAAGCGGAAGTTGGCCTACGCGAGTTCCCGCCCCCGTTCTTTGCTCCAAGGAAGGCGTTGCCCGCAGGAAGCGTGCATTTTAGTCCGCCCTTCCAATAAAATTGACAGGTACTGGAATTTATCTTCGCACATCCTATTCAGTTAGATGCTGTTATGTCGTCGGTAATTATTTTTTTTCTAAATCTGAGGCTTAGTATCAGTAAAAACCGAAGTCGTTAATTGTCTTCTGTTGCCTTTATGAGGGCATATTATGAACTTAGGAAGTTCCTTCTTAAATCATGCAATTACTCTATCCCCCTAACAGTCTTCTTATTTAAAAAAAAAAAAAACTCTGGGAGAAATGATGTACTGTTTATTGTTTCACTCCCTGACATCTAGGATAACGAGAAAACGGTATTGTGAGGAATTGGGTGCTTCATTGTTTGTGGAATCAAACTTTGGGCTGCTTCTAGGGCGCCTGAAGTGTTGAGCATTTTGCTTTGATGGTGGACTAGGCTCTGAGCACGTATTTGCAACTGTAGTGTGTTTCTGAAACCTCTGGCAATTTTGCAAAACAGCAGAATGGCTGTTTCATTATAAAAGCGAATGCTCATTTTTATACAGTGACGTCTACCTGCAGGCAATTTTGAGGTACTCAGCAGGCAAAATTGAGTGGAAAAAGTGTTTCATCCCCTTAAAAATGCTTCGTGGCCAAATAGCCCTTGCTACTTGACTTAGGCTCGAAGAAACTGTATTTTAGTAATTTTGTGGCAAATTTGATTACGGTCTTTTCATGTCCTAGTCTTTTACGTCTTGGACAGTTTCTCCTAGACCCCGCCGCAGAATCTGCAGATGTTTAGTGCCAAGTTTAGGTTTGTTGACATAGAAAGTCTGCTCAAATTGTTATGATTATTATTTTAATTGTATAGACTTCCTTCGGAGTCAGGGGGTTGGGGTCATAGGGAGAAAGTTGGAAGTCACACCACTTTGTCCATTAGTTTAAAAGTTGTTCCTACCTTTTGATCTCAGGTTCACTTTCAGTTAGATATTCTCTAACCACAACTTTTAATGGCTGCAATTTAGTCACACCACCCAAAGAGAAATTGATGGACCTCAAATTGTGGGCCCTTTACTTTAAAGGTCTTATGCTTTATTAAATTGATGATGATAAACAAGTCTATAGATTTATGGCAAAAACTGCGGCTAAGGGAAAGGATTGTGTTTGTAATGCTCTGGTTGTAATAATTTTGCTTAGGAGATTTAAGTTAGAGTAGTCTAAAGTTAGAGTAGTCTAAAGTTTATGCACTAGCAGAATGGAGAAAATGGGGAGGTGTGATGGACAGAACTGGAGGAATAAAAATATTTTTAGGAGAAAATATGTGACATACAATAGATTTTAGAAAGGTGGCATAGAAAAGTGATTTGAAATTGAAGTAGATGTCTGAAAGAGAATTGGGAGTCCAGGGAACTAAGTATGTCCAACTGAGTATCTGCAAAGGGAGGATGTAGTTGCTATTAGATTGAAAGTGCCTCTAGTCCCGAATTAATTAAAAGGTGAGAGAGGAAATTCTCCAAGAAATGACTCAGAAAGTAGCAGAAAACGAGTGACAGAAAGGATCTGGTAGAAAAACTATCATCTCAAATATTGGGGAAGAATTGTAAGAACCATTGATTATATAAATATCACTGTATGATTTACAAAGTAGTATAGTCCCTTTTAGGTTTGGATAAAGGTACAGTTTGTGCATTGACGAACTTCAAGAGAAGGTTTAGCAGATTGAAAGGACCTAGACAAAAGGTGTGTTAGGCTTGAAATTGGAAAAGTATGATATATGGCAAAAGAAAAGATTGCATGAAATTCTCCTTCTCTGGAATTGGTGAATAAAGGATTTGTTTCAAGCACTATAGATGCTTCTAGTAAACTTGGATCAGTGACTTCACAACTGACATAAGGAAAATATCTAGAATTTAGAAGAATAAGATAAAAAAAAACCCTAACAAATGAAAAGGAAATTATTTATTTCTAAAATCTTAATGCTCTGTAGTTTATACCACATTAATATGCCAGTTGTATAATTAGAAACCCAACTAGTTGAACAGATTAAATAGGTAAAAATTTACTAAAACTTTTTCTAAAGTTAAAGAAATAAACATAAAAGGAGAATTTGAGGCAGGTTTTTTTTTAAATGTTAAATTTATCATTTTAATGCTACTCACACAAGGTCAGTAGTACAAGTTACATTGTTTATATGCATGCATTGTTTTCTTAAATTTTTTTTTATTTTATAAGGTAGTTCACAGTATTTGATTACATTTAATGTTAAAACACCAATCCCACCACCATTACACCTTCCCACCACCAAATTTGGGATCTTTCCATCTCAACCCCCCATCCCTGTCCCAAAACACAACCGAAATAATATATTTTGTATTGTCTGTTACGAAAAACAAAGGCAGGGTCCCGACGAGGGACTGGATGGAACCAGGGCAAGCCAGTAAGTTACGTGCTACCCTCGCATCGAGAAGGGCCAGGCCAAGATGCCACGATTCTAAACCATAGGTTAAGAGTTTGATCATAGGCAAATGCTGTCATGATTCAAAAGTAATGACGGACTAGGACACTGCTAGGAATAGGAAAGACTATCTGGCCTAAGTGCTGTAGTGTGAGGTCGAGATGGCCCTAGGAGAGCAATTCTATAAGCTTAAAGTATTTTTTACTGTGTCCATACAAAATGATTTATATTATGTATGCTTATATGTTTGTTGGACAAAGAGAGGAGAAAAACACCCAGGGGATTGTGTTCTAGGGTGAGTCCATCTACTAAATGAGAAGCTGCTTTCCTTTGTGTCCTGACTGGTTTGGATGAGGCTCAACATTTCTCCCCTTCAAACTGCCTTCAGTAAATAATTTCAGTATATAGTAAGAGGCAGTTTCCCTTTTCTTACAGAAATCTCAGGTGCTAGGCAGGCCTGATCTTTGGGATGTAGATTCCCAGATCTAGCCAGGCTAGTCTTTGGGATGCAAAGCTCAGATACTTGCCTTTGGAATGTAGATTCCAAGCTCTAGAAGAATGGTCTTTGGGATGCAAATCCAAGTGCCTGTAGCTTGTGAAAGAGCTTGTGAAAGTGCTTGTGAAAGGTTTCAGGCTTGGTCTTGTATCTTCTTTCCTAGGCCAAAATTAATGGCCTGCAGTTGTAAAGAAACTGTGTTTTGTCACCTCAATGTTCTTTCTGTATCTCCTTTTGATGACCTCACTGTATTGCACCCTTTAGAGGTACCATGATCTATATAAGGAGATTTTCAGGACTCTCTGGGGGAACAGGTGCCTGAGAGAAAAGGGGTGTTGTGCTGAGAGAACCTAAGAGACAGGTCTGAGAGAATGGGGACAGAAGCTGAGAGAACAAAAGAGTACTTGCTTGAGAGATCCTGAGCCCTCCATGACATACATTTCTTCCATGTATTAAACTGCTACAAAGACCAACCAGCCTGGCCCTAGTTTCCTTCCTTCGCCTGCCTGTCGCCATCAACCTCCCTGGAGTGGGGGAATGGTCTGAGACTACCGAACTCTGGCGGTGGGAGAGATAGGCCACTGCCCCGTTCCCTTGCCCACTCCCCTTTTGTGTTTACACATCCTTTTCTGTATTTACACACTTTCAGCATGCATCTCCCATCCTGAGAGGATCCTCCCAACACCCTTTATTTGGTGCTGCATTCTCTATCTGAGCTGCATTTTCCCCTAGCATGTGCGCTGGCCTCCAAACCATGGAGTAAACTTCCTGGTACTTATCTCGGCTATTCTTGGGTACTAGTCTATTTTGTTATTTTATGTTCCCCAGGTGAATGCAATCTTTCTATGTCTGTCCCTCTCTTTCTGACTCATTTCTCTTAGCCTGATACTTTCCATATAGTACCACTTGTATGTAAATTTCTTTTTTTTTTAATGTAGGAGTACTGCTATTTATTCAGCCACAGATTAGCTGATTGAATTGTGCATGAATTCCACCTTTTTTTTCCATTTTTTTTTATAAATTTATTTATTGACTCACCATGTGAGCAGTTACAAAGCTTTTCGGTCTAAGTCTTGGTTGTACAATGAAACACCTGTACCTTCACCAGTGCTCATTCTCCACCTCCAACAACCCCAGTATACCCCCATCCCAAACCCTCCCCCTACCTGTGAAGCAGATGATTTCCATATTACTCTCTACTTTGATCACATTCAATATTTTTTTTCACATTCAATATTTTGACACTAGACCCACCATTATTATTTGAGATTTTACCCTAACACTCAGATCTGCTGAAAAGGCAACCGTAGACAATTTGTTTTCTATTGCTGGTTTTGAATAACATGTGATGTCGCATGGCTGCAGTAGTGGCCCCGCAATTTTGAAATTCTGAAATTTTAACACTTAAATCTGGAGGGATTTCTGATAAAACCTGCTGGGTTCCGAGTTTTGCTCCTGAATCTCTGGGATTATGGCCGTTAAGCAGCTTGATTATGAGCCAGAAAGGCCGTTTGTGGGCAATGACTTGGGGTCTCGTTGAAGTGGAGAGGACAGGACCGGCTCCACCCCCATCCTGTGAGGCCCTTCATGTCTCGTCACTGCGCGACCAAACCTGACTATCCAATGGCCTCTAGAGGATGATGGTCACCGAGCCGCCAGGGGAAAGCAGGCGGAGGGACAACACCTTTTCCCCCCTGGGGTGGCCTGGCAACAGTAACCTACTGTGGGGTCTGGACGCATTTCTGCCAAAAGCCGCTGGGTTTTGAGATTTGTTTCTGAGTCCCTGGGGATCATGGCCATTAAACTTGTATGTAAATTTCATGGCTTCATCTTTTCTATGAGCTATAGTACTCAATTGTGTAGATGTACCAAAGTTTCTTTAACCAGTCATCTGTTCTCAGGCACTCAGGTTTTTTCCAGATTCTAGCTATTGCAAACGGTACTGCAATGAACAAACAAGTTCAGATGTCTTTTCGACTACACTTTTTTGCCTCTCTGGGATATATTCCTAGGAGTGGTATTGCTGGGTCAAATGGGAGCTCAATTTCTATTTTTTTTTTCAATTTCTAATTTTTTGAGAATCATCCATACTGTTTTCCAAAAGGGCTGAATCAGTCGGC